ATAACAAAAAAATATGCGCAAATTGCTCAAACATCGCTCACGTTGATCTTGAAATCAACGAAAAGTGCTCTGACACAACTATTTGTTCAAACTGCGCCTATAGTGGATCTGAGAATGCCAACCACAATGCACTCGATAAAAAATGCCCAATTTTTGTAAAACAAAAAGAAATACAAGCAATAATAACAATAGAAAAAGTTGATAGACGAAGAGCAATAGCCATATACGAAGAACGGCATCAACACAGCTCAGAAACATACTCATCAAAAATAAGAAAAACAAACCAATTAGTCACTAACAATCAAACTAGCAACTCTTACACCAATAACACGGACTTACCTCACTCATCAACAGTAACAACAGACACAGCAAAACCCATCACAATAAGCAGCATACCCCCAGCTTCTAGCAACAACAACGAACTTCCACTCAACTCTAAGAATCTACCACATTCATCCCCATTACCACACTCATCCACAAACAGGCAGAGAGAGCAAACTGACTATTCCGACATAGTACTCAATAGCAATAACATAACGAAAGTTAGTGCACAACAAATCACAAAAGAAAACAAAACGAAAATCTACCCAAAAAACATCTCAAAAAGAACCAGAGCTTTATTAAAAAAAATGAATAAATTAAAAAATGAAGGCAAACAAAACTCGGTTATAACATTACCTTCTGAAGACAACGATTCCGATTCTTCAGAATCAATGTCTATGGATCAATAATCTACTCGACTTAGTCCCCATATTTATATTTATACAAATTCACATTTTTGTAAATTTATATTATATATAACATATAATTTATAATGACCCTACATATTATACAATGGAACATGAATGGCTATGTTAACAATTATAATGAATTACTAGTTCTCATTAAAAACCACAAACCTAAAATCATTTGTATACAAGAAAGTCACATCCCAACACTATACCGAAACATTCCAATTCCAAACAACTTCCTTCTATACTCCTTCAATTCACGCTCTTCATACGGTGGTGTTGGTATACTAATACACAATTCTATACAACACGAACTAATTCAAAATGAAAAGCACTTTGACTACATAACATAAGAAATACATTCTACGAAGAAATTCAGAATCACATCAGCTTATTGTCCCCCAACGTTCCGTTTCCATTTCCACAACTTAGATAACGCCTTTAGTCAAAACAACCACTCATCACACCTTATAACTGGTGATTTCAATTGCTGGCATCAAAGCTGGGGTTCGCGAACCAATAACCGAAAGGGAATTATTCTGTCGAGCTTTATTAACCAATCTAACCTCGTATTATTAAACGACAAATCACCAACTCACCTTTCCACCCATAAAACCTTAACACATATTGACCTTTCTTTTTGTACCCCTGACCTTGTACCTCACGCTGAATGGAAAACTTCGAATGATTTAAACGGTAGTGATCATTTCCCCATTCTCATTTCACTATTCCCCCCAGTTAACCAATCACATACAAAAACAAAAATTTTATTCAAAACAAATTTTGCAAACTGGGAACTATTCGAAAAAAAATGTAAAAAATTTTGAGTCAACTCGACCTATTAGTCCTAATGTTAATGTCGAATCAGCAAACCTTATGAAAATAATTTTACGATCTGCTAACGAATCCATTCCCAAAACACATAATTACAGAAAATTGAGATCAGTACCGTGGTGGAATCAAAACTTAGGTAAGCTGAAAGCTGAGAAAAACAAACGATTTCAAATATTCAGAAGTAACATGACCGAAACAAATCTAATTGAATATAAAAAGGCAAATTCTGCATTAAAGCGTGAGATTAAAATCTCAAAACAATCATCCATACGAAAATTTACATCAGAAATTAACCCAAATACCCCTATTAAACAAATTTGGATGAAAATAAAACATTTCTGTGGTTACAAACTACCTTACAATATACATTGCCTAAAATCATTTAGTAATCCAAGCCAAACTTTTACCGACCCAAAAGATATCGCTGATGAGCTCGCTAAATACTGGTGCTCAATATCAACAGATCAACAGTTTTCAAGTCGTTTCCAAAACAGGAAAAGGACCACTGTTCAAAATGTTATAAATACACAACCGTGCAATAACGCAGCGCCTTTAGAGAAATATATAAGCTATCTGGAACTTACATCTGCCCTATCTAAGCTAAAAGGAAAGACTCCAGGTATAGACAGAATAACTTACTCGATGATCCGAAACTCCCCAGAAGTCTTCAAGAAGCGTCTCCTTAACTTGTACAACTCAATTCTTGACAACAAAATAATTCCACAATCCTTCAAACACAGCATTATTATACCATTACCAAAACCAAAATCATACAAAACACAAGCAAAATCATACAGACCCATATCCCTAAACACTTGTTTCGCTAAAGTTCTAGATAGAATAGTAGCAAATCGGCTGTGGTGGTTTGTAACAAAAAACAAACTACTGAACAGCCGGCAAATGGGCTTTAAGAGAGGTAAATCTACAGCGGATACTCTACTACTCCTAGACTATCTGGCTGCAACTAAGCTCTCGTCAAAAGGTCACCTAACAATCATATCCCTTGACTTTGAAAAGGCGTATGACAAAATAGGTATACATGCAGTAATAGACCAATTAGTGGAATGGAAAGTCGGCCCCAAAGTCATTAACTATATTCTTAATTTTATGTCAAATCGTAAGTTTTCAGCACGAGTAGGCAACCACTGGTCCGATTTCCGGGAATTAGACAACGGTATTCCCCAGGGATCGCCTTTATCCGTCATTATTTTCTTAATTGCTTATGAAAAATTATGTTCTGTAATTTCTTTATACAAAGAAATCGACTTTTGCGCTTACGCAGACGATTTCAATATTATAGTTAAGTCAAAAAAAGAAAAAAATCCTGTAATTGACTTAAATAACCTTTTCCAAGACATTTCAACTTGGTGCGACTACTCAGGGGCCAACCTATCGCCATCAAAAAATCGATATATTCATATATGCCGAAAAAAGAATTGCCAATGTGTCGTACTATCAGGAAACACAAGCCTTACTCCTTGTGACAAGTTGAGAATTTTAGGTATTATATTCAACAACAGGTATAGATGGAACTCCCACATAGATAACCTAAGCCTCTCTTTGACCCCACAGTTAAACATCGTAAAATGCCTAGCTACACCCAAATTTAACTGCGATACTCAATCAATTTTAACAATTGTTCGTACTTTAATAATATCCAAAATAAGTTATGGCATTTTTCTCTATGGATATGCCCCTAAATATCTTCTAAACAAAGTTAAATCACAAATTTGCGCTGCAATAAGAACCGCTTTGGGTGCACTACGCCATACACCAACCGCAAATATATTTTTCGAATCAAAAATAATGAACTTTGAAATGCAGAGAGACTTAACTACAGCTAATCTGTATAAAGCTGTAATAACAAAACAAGACAACCCACTTTACAATATCGTTAAGAACCTCAAAAAGAGAAAAACTCCCCTTAAAATTAAACCTGCCTTAAGTAGAATTATAGAACAATGCTCAGCAATAGACGTGCCCATAAATCTAACTGTAAATAGTACCCCCGATTTGCCCCCATGGCTATTTAACCCAAAAACAATTAACACTGCACTACACACCCTAAACAAGTCCAACACAAACCTGCTTCAGATCCAGTTGATGTTCAACGAGATCAAAAGTAAATACCACAACTACACATTCATTTATACTGATGGATCCAAAACCAATCAAAGCACTTCATATAGCATAACCTCAGAAAATGAAATTATCAAAACATCAATTATTCCATATTATAGTTCAATATACTCAGCTGAAATTATTGCCATATCTGAAGCTATAAACCTAGTTAAAAACAAAAAAAAGTTTTTCGCTATATGTTCAGATTCACTTTCCGCTCTTAATTCTATAGCAGACATAAAAAACAATAGCTACTATACCACCCAAATTAGAAATATTCTATCACAGCACTACCCAAAAATCATATTAATATGGGTGCCTGGACATACAAATATATCCGGGAACAACTTCGCCGACAAAGCCGCCAAACAAGCGAACCAAAGTCCAGTCATCAGTACAGAAAACTTAAACCTCCTAGATGTTAAAAACCATATCAAACAATACTTCCTCTCGAAACAACGACTTGAATGGAACTCAACTAATAATTGGTACAAAAGTATAAATTACACAAAGGCCCATTTAATAGATTTCTTGCAGAAATCAAAAAAAATCCCTTCGCGGCTCGACGTTATAAAATTCGAGCGCCTTAGACTAGGACACACAAAACTAACGCATGGGCATCTTATGAACAATTCGACCCCTACGTACTGTACTTGCAACACAAATATCATAGTCACAGTTAACCATCTTCTACTTAACTGCCCCCTTAGAGAACGAATTTTTACTAACACAAGTCCAACTTCTTACCTCTCACTTCCCTCAGTCGAATCAATCCTTTTAATAACGAACTTTCTCAAAAGAACCAATATCTTTCATAAGATTTAAGCAAAAGGAATCTAAACTTAAAAATGTAAATATGTAAATAAGTATTGAGCTTAAGGCCTAGTAGCTATAGCTCCCGAACAAATAGCTTATAAGATTTATGTTGTAAGCTATATTTGATATAAATAAATAAATAATTACAAGCACTACGATTTCTTAAAGGATCTTTTTTGCTTCATCCAATTGAATTGCTAAAATTACACTTTTACGAGTTCCATATACATATTTATATACGTGTATGTATTTTGCGTTAAAATTATAATTTTCTATGTATTCTTTATTTCTTCATTCATAGTTTGTTTACTACCGTACATATGTACGAGTATGTTAACGTAATATTGGAAGGAATAATTTTACAAAACACTAAATGCACACATCCACGTTAATAAACAAAGAATACTTTCGTGAACTTGGTAATAACAAATATGTATTTTCGAAAAGGAAGTCTTCAAAAATCAATTTAGTTGATTATGATATTAGTATATTAATTACCTTTCTTCTTCTACTTCTATACTACTTTATACTTTGTCAATATGTATATTGTTTTTTTTTTTAGTTTTTCTAAACTATTTCACAAGCATCGTTCCGAATTCACTACCCACTTATATTCCTTTTTTTTAAATATTATTTATCTTTTAAATAAAACTTTTTGCAAAGTCAGCTATAAGAACACTTTTTGCTAGTTCTTGTTTCATTTCATCTTTATACACTCTCCTGTGTTTTGTTTTGATAATGTGAATCGTCTGACGAAGCAAAATTTAATGGAAATAAATAAACTCTAAACACCACGAAGGAGAGAAACAGCGCCGCAAATAACGAAATCAACTTTGTACCACTTTTGAATAAACTAGTTTTTTAAATAAATAATAAATAAAATTACTTTAATATTATTTTCAATATATGTCTAATTTAACACATATAGAAATGCTGATGAAACACTTATTGCACTTATTTTCAATATTCATTCACTTTATATTTAAGTTTATTTTATTTTATTTTCAAGAGAAATTATTAAATATGGCACAACTAACCGGCACCACGCTCGGAAACGAACTACTTCTCCCAAAAATAAGTTCTAACCAACTTGGCGGTCATTGTAGTGTAAGCAGAGTGATGTAATTTTGAAAATTCTGCACTCACATATACCTACATATATTCGGGTACATATATACCATAGTGAGTAGATGTACATTGCGCTATGAGCAAGCAGAACTTGAGAGCGTTGAATCCAAGTTCGGCTAAGAGCGTATCAGGGGCAATAGAGATTGACGCCACATGTTGGGAGCAGCCGCACCAGAAATTCTCATATTTATTTGTAGGGGTGTGTTAGCAAGTAAAGCAACTGATTATTGCGTTCGTTTCGGCCCTATTCAACGACTAAAAAAGCTTTCGGTGGCTTTGAAAAGAGAGATTGAGCATTACTAACGTTGCTTTTGGCGCTCTATCGGCAATGTCTGGCGTTCAAAAGTCAAAACAAAAATGCATTACTAATATTTATTTGTGTGTGTAGCTACATATTATTCATCTAAATTATATTTCCATTTATAAATATAGCCTTGAATGCTCTTTACGCAGCGACTCTCAGTTTGTTTTCATGCATATAACCATGTACATATACACCTACATACATACATACTATGTAATAAATGTCCAAATGCATATGAATATGTATATAAAGTAATACGAGGAAATTAGTTGGGTGCGCCCCTTGCTCTATTAGAAGCATGTTTGTATATTTGCAAATTTTCGAAATTCCCTTGTTTTAAGAATTTCTTAATATTCTTAATTCTTTGCGAATTTTTGTACTCATGTACATATGGCAATTTCAAACAATCTATTTTAAATTTGATTAACTGCTACATACATACAGATTGGTTCTAACAAAAGATTTATTTTCATAAAACCATCTTTGTCAAAAAATACTAAATGGTAATCATACTTGGCGATATATATAAATATAAATATAAATATAAATATAAATATAAATATAAATATAAATATAAATATAAATATAAATATAAATATAAATATAAATATAAATATAAATAAAAAATCAGTGTGGCTTTGCTATGCACCAAACCTTGGAAAATACACGTGAAAAAATAATCTAAACATCATTCATTTTAAGGCTATGTGATTTCTTCAATTCTATTATGGAGAAAATAATAAGAGCTTCAGAGCAAAATAGACAAAGCACAATATTTTACAACAGTGTATAACTGCTAGCGAATGCCGAAGATATTGACAATTTTGGTCTTAGCAACCACGCCGTGAGTTCTGCTTTCTCCAAACTTAATAAGAAAGCAAAACGAATGGATATGACAGTAAAGGACGAAACGAAATATCTTCTATCATCAAACATCATCGCATTTGCGACTTGGAGCTCACGTCACTGTCGGCAGTCATAACGTCGTGGTTGTAGATAATTTCCTCTATCGTGGTAGCAGCATTAACACCATTAATAATGTTAGCCTTGAAATACAACGCAGAATCGCTCTTACCAAGAAGGTTTTACTTTGGGCTGAGTAAACAATTGAAGAGTAAAATCCTCTCTCGGCGATCAAAAACCAAACTCTACCTTCGAGAGAAAAGTTCTGCGAATGATTTATGGTTCTTTGCGCATCGGCAACTGTATGCGACATTGACGTTGTCAAATAATTCGGCGTATGAAGAGCCAGCGGCTCCGCTGTCTACGTTATATCATCCGAACGGATGAGAGGACTCCATCGTGGAAAGTATTCGACGCAGTATCGGTTGGAAGGATCAGGTGCACCAAACAGCGAAAAGAAGTGATAATGATTGTTGATTCGGTTATAGTCGCATAAGCCAATAAAGGCTCTGCCAATAAATCGGACGACGGACACGCCATACAAACGCGTACCATTACAAGTTTGTAGAGCGAGCTCGCGCCGATTTCGATTTCCTACAAACAAATACATCAGCTTATCCGAAGGAGTTAAATCGGAGCGACTCCAGCAGTACACAGAAAACTAGTTCAGGACAAAATTATCGTAAAAAAGTGATTTCTTCCATGTTCAAATCCAAGCTAGATTAAGTATTAGACGTACAAAGTAAGTATAAATATACTTTGATTCCTGAGGTTATCGAACACAATAAAACCCCAATTAACATCTGCTATGTAGCCGGTCGTAGAAGTATATGTATTAAACTTTCAGCAATTTGTGCAATTAAATAGTTATATGATCGATGATTAATACATTTGATTGGAACTCTGAAGCATCGTTCAATAGGAGAATAAATTTAATTTTATTATTTTATTTACCACTTTCATACCTTCACATTTTACATATTATATGTATATACATACATACATCAAAAATTATGTTTAAATGCCCAAATATGTGTCTGCAACAATAAACTCGCCGAGTGCAGTTTTTATGAAGGTGTGATAACAAATTGCAATATTATATGTTGTAAACTTGAGATATGAATATTTACAGCGAGTATTAATAAGCAAGTGTAAGCATGGCCGTATGGTTATTACCACATTTCTTTAATAATAGAATTTTTTATTTATGAAAATAGTTTGAAAAGCAATAAATTCATAATTCGATGAAAACGCGGAGCGACTGCTTAGATACGGTTTATGCAAGTAATTGCCAGAAAAAAGCTGGTACGTTGAGAAATGTCGAGCTGCAGTGGAGAGAAAATAGACTGCCTACCTCGCAACCCTGCGATCGCCCACAATACATGCGGAGTGGAATAGACATCGATAGCTGAAGATGGAAGCAAGACGAACTTGCAGACTACTGGCCGACAAGGGTAATGCTCGAAACTTTTATGAGAAGATACGACGTCTTACGGAAGGTTTCAAGACCGGAGCAAACTCTTGTAGGACCCAGAGGGGTGGTCTAGTCACGGATGTCCAGAGTATACAGAATTTATGGAGGGAACACTTCACCAGCCTGCTGAACGGCAGTGAAACTGAAACACCTTGAGGAGGTGAGCCGGAAATCCCAATCGATGACGATGGAACAGACGTTGCGCTACCTGACCATATCAAAGTTCGATAGCGATTGCCCGCTTATAAAACAAAAAAGCGCCTGGGGCTGACAGCCTACTGGCAGAACTATGGCGGTGAAAAGTTGACAAGATGCATGCATCAGCTTGTTTGCAAAATATGGTCCGATGAAAGCATGTCCGACGATGGGAAACGAAGTTTACTCTGCCCAATCCACAAAAAGGGCGATCCGACAGTCTGCGTCAACTACCATGGGATAAGCCTCCTTAACATCGCATATAAGGTCCTATCGAGCGTTTAAAGCCGACTAGGCTGACTCTTTGTCGTGTGATTTTTTCATTTTGATGCTGAAGAGAAAATCGGTCTCACCAATCGCGCCGTTTGTTCTGCTTTCTTCAGGCTTAATAAAAACACAAGCGAATCTGAAACATCTGTCTTACATATTATCTAGTTGTCTGATCTGGTCGGTTCAGACAATAGATCGTTTAAATACGCAAGTAGATCTTTGCCTTATGTTTGGTTGAAACATCTCACAAGCAGAGGAACAAGTTTGGGTACAAACAGTCGGATAGGCTGACAACTCATCTGGTCCTATTTCTACTTCTTTTGGTACTTACATCCTTCGGACCAAAGTTAATATACCATTTCATGTACTTGAAAGGTGTAATTAAAATTTCTTCGAGATGACATTTCAAGTCAAGATGCAATAATAATTGTAAGTAAAATTATAAAAACTCTCTAAATGAGTCTCCTTTGGGACTTGATACACGTCATTTTGGAGTACATAACATCTCTCAAACATATTTATACTCGGCTGTACTATGTCCAGAGAGTATATTAGGGGTTATTCGGTATGTAACGGTATGTCACAAAATAATCGATATTGATTTAGGCATATGTGAGGTTTGATTGATTATGATTAAACGTGGGTCACAAGCACGGTCGCTATTGCAAACAGGTGAAATCAGGCCAAGTTCACGACTGCGTCCCATATAACGACAATTTTATTGGTATAAAAGTCGCGATAATGCAGTAACGCGTAGACGCGGCTCTAATATTTAGTTACTTTAAGGTGGAACAATTTTTCAACGAGACCAACTACGCCTTTGCATCATATACCAGATTCCTACGTTTGCACACCCTGCCTAACTCAGGATTGAATATTTATGTAATTAGCATTCTATACTGGTATTTTGAAAGCCAGGGCTCGAATCCTTGTTCGACCGATATCCAAAATTACCTTCAGCCATCCGCAAGTGACATGATATAAACTTTTGGTCTCTCCATTTGTTGGAAAACATCAATAAGCACACCACAAGAAGCACGGCCTAAAACCGCTTCAGCCTGAGGAGCTCTCTTGAATAACAAAGCGAAGATATGGAAAACAACCATGTACAAAGACGGAAGTGCTGGCCTTGTAGTCAGCAAAGATTAATTCCAGCGTTGACAACAATTTCAAGAAGACTCTAAGCGCACTGACGGGTCAACTCTGCTTATCCATAATCTGGCTTCCCGGGCACAGGAACATTTTCAGCAACGAAAAAGCAGACGACACATGGCGATATGTCTGCGACTCCTCTATATACATCAGAGACAGAGTTAATATCATGCCCGCTAGGATATATAAAAAAGGGGTACACACAATTATAAATAGCACAATAGAAATCTATGACCAAATGCAAGTAGATATGGCCTACGCATTATAAGGAAAGAACTAAGGGTCTATTAAAAAGGTCCAGGAAAATCATTTACAGACTTACAACTACTATAACAGTGCCTGTCCACTAAAAGCATTACGGGTATATGTACATATGTAAGTAGTTTTATTGAGAGCACCAAATGGCGTAAACCCCATGATGAAATGAGATTGGAAGAAGGAAGAATCTAA